CTTTCCCTCTTTCATCAATCATATGCTGACACTTTTTTCTTTCCATTAATATCATTATTAATTATCTGTAGGTCAGAGACTTGAATCAAACTGAAATCAGTTCCAGGAAGGTTGATGATCAACTAGAAGGTTCTATGGTAAACCTGGATTATAATGCTTTTCATCAATAGAAGAAATAAATTTGGTTCTCAATCCTAGCTAGCTAACAAATTCTATGTATGATTTCATGATCATGATTGTGTAGGGTAAGGGAATCACATCATCAGGGCCTTATTCAGATTTGAAGATGGATGATGATAAGCATGATTTGAATTTTAATGGAAAGAATATTGATTGCAAAGACTTGAAGAAAAGGGGGCTATGCTTGGTTCCTTTGTCTTTGTTGGTTAATTATTTGGGGTGACTGATACTTTTGTCTATATACCTTCTCTCTCTCTCTCTATCTTTCTGCCCCTCCTTGTCTCCTTTTCTTTGTGATCTTCTGTGTAACTCAAATTATGGAATTGTATATTAAAGAGCATGATCAGTGACTGTGATGTATAATCTGTATGTGATTATGTGTATATTGATCCTAGTTACTAGTTAGCAGTTTGATAAATTTGTGTTTGGTAATTGTTCTTGAAGGGAAACTTAACTCTAGTAGTGTGCCAGTTTTCTGATTCTCCACGATGATTAATCACTCAATGAAACATAATTAAGATAATGTTTCGCAATCATGTGGACGACAATGCTACAAATTTGAAATTACTAAATCAATGTGATTCTGATAATTCATACAACAAGGACAGAAAAACACTATTAATTGATGCTGGTTATTGGTAATGAGTACAGGTAGAAAAGGCCAAAGAATAGGTATAGCAGTAAAAGTGAATCAGGTGGGTCATAACTCATAAGCAGTATGTTGGTATTGTTTAACTTAAAATTAGATTACCAAAAGTAGTAATTAGATGGTACTTATTAATTTAACATTTTTAGAATTAGAAGAGACTGATCAGTGTGGTGGTGACATTATTGAAATTTGATGCTTCCAATGTGGGCATTAACCAAGTTTATGTGTGAATGAAAAATACTTTGAAAGGATAAAATATCATTTTGATAATTTTTACTTAAACTAGAAAATACAATATATTGAAACATAATATTTTTAATAATGAAAAGAATGATGTATACTCCCTTATAAGTTATAAGACTACTTGTGTCATTAATAATAACTTGAGTTAATTGTGAATTGAGGATGATACTATATTTTTAATAATGAAAATATTTATGAGTTTTGTATAACAGATTTAGTAATCGAAAGATTTTATGTGATAGATTTATTAATTATGTTTGAATTTTAGATAGGGAGATTGAAATATTTTTTTAAAATTATAAAATTATAAAATTATAAAATTTAATTTTAAATTTTAGAAAATAAAAACAAATTCACTTGATATTTGAGAGATCGAAAACATATTCAAGTCTTTCATATATTTAAAAAAAAAAAAAATTAATGGCATCATGTTTACACAAGTTTACATATTCTCAAATAACACTAATTTTATATCTTAACATGTTTTGGTTAAAATGAAAAGTTTGAATTTTTTAAATAATATCTCAATTATAAAACTTGTAAATGAAAAATTAAGTTATTAATTTGAAAGACGCACAATTAAGTTGTTAGCTAATCTTTTAGTGAGATTAACCATTAACAAAAAATTGATTATTACTTTACACCAACAATATGTTTACTTAAAAAAGGAATAACACTTTTATATATATATATATATATATTAAACAAC